CCGGGTGGGCAGGCTACATTCGGTAACTAAATGTGCCATTTAGTCACATTCTGATGAAATCCTGCGTCTGGATAGAAGTACGAAGAGTTTTTCCGACAAGAGCAGTGGTAGTGGTCACAGCAAGAGTCCCAGGAGAGCAACAATCAAGAGTTAGATGAATTGCAGGGAGCACTGGAGCAGGCACGCTGGTATGAAGGTGTCACAGAGGCCGTGATCAGTGAAGGCCTGAAGGACAATTGTCACTTCCCCCTCTCAGAGCAGTCACCTGCCCTTGCTTGCAGGAGAATACAGAGTCTCGCAAAGATGCCGGTTTTCCTGGACTTCTATCGGGCCATGTGGGAATCATTCCAGGCGAGCTACGGGTGCCGGCTGGGTAGACTCCTCAGACAAGCAGCCACCAAGCAAGAGCTTGGAGAGGGCTGGGCAGAGCAGGGTGCCTCCAGAAGGGCCACACCCAGCCCCAGAGCCCCACAGCCCGTGGCCTGCAAGTTCCCTGATTACCACCACTGGTTGCCTCCTACAGCCGGAGTGACACTTGGCTCACGGTTTTGTGCCCAGGCTCTCAAGAAACTATAGGTGTCTCCTCTCCCCATCACTCATGCCCGTTTCCTTGCTTCCAAGGAGGGTCTCACACGACCTCTAGGACTTCTTGAGGTCGTGCTCATTCCTTCACCGGCTTTGGGTCAGCAGCTTGTCTGCCCACTGCTCACATTCCTGGCCCTGGCTGGCCTCTGAACGCAGACCCCTGCGGGGCCTCACTCAACCCAAAAGTGGCCACGTTGGGAATTCCTTCCCTACAGAACTGTTTCCTGAAGGAGGGCCTCTCTCAACAGCAGACCTCTCGTCATCTTCAGCCTTGTGCCTCCTTGCTCCTTATCTAATGTGACACCAAATTGTGTGTGTGCTTTTTTAAATTTTTTAAAACTTTTTATTAGTGAGACATCACGAGGTACAGTTGTAGACTTACAAATTTTTGTGCTTGGGTTTCAATTATACAATGATCAAATACCCATCCTTCCACCAGTGCCCATTTCCCACCACCACGGATCTCAGTATCCCTCCCACCCCCCCATCTCCCCCCATTCCACCCTGCCTCTGTGGCAGGGCATTTCCTTTTGTTCTCTCTCTCTTCTTGGGTGTTGTGGTTTGCAAAAGAGGCAATGGGTGACAATCATGTTTGGTCTAGGCACATGAGAAAATGTTCCACATCATTAATCACCAGGGAGATGCAGATCAAAACAACAATGAGATATCATTTCACACCACAGAGACTGGCCCATATCCACAAGAACAAAAGCAACCAGTGCTGGCGCAGATGTGGCAAGAAAGGGACCCTCCTTTACTGCTGGTGGGAATGCCGACTGGTACAGCCCTTTTGGAAAACAGTATGGACGATTCTCAAAAAATTAGAAATTGAGCTCCCATTTGACCCAGCAATATCCTTTCTAGGAATATATCCCAAATCACAAATCACAAATCATCCTGTTATTCGTCGATTGCCTTGAGCAGGCCCCAGTAATGTCTCCTTCATCCTAGCCCTGAGATTATATTCAAGGCTCTTTAGGAGAATGAGACCCATCGTTGTTACTGGTATTTGGCATATTGGGTACGCCACGGGGAGTTTGCCAGACTCTCCTAGTTTGTCCAAAGTAGGAATGAGATAACAAGATGTCATAATAAGATGTCGCCCGGCCGCAAATGCGGCCGCATGGAATATATCCCAGAGAGGCAAAAAAGTATAGTCGAAGTGACATCTGCACTGGTTTGTTCACTGCAGCACTCTTTACAATAGCCAGAATCTGGAAAAAACCTGAGTGCCTGAGAACAGATGACTGGTTAAAGAAAGTTTGGTGCATTTACACAATGGAGTACTATGTAGCTGTTAGAAAAGACGAAGTCATGAAATTTACATACAAGTGGTACTACATGGAAAGTATCATGTTAAGCGAAATGATTCAGAAAGAAAGGGATAGACATAGAAAGATTGCATTCATCTGGGAAATATAAAATAACAAAATAGGAGACTAACACCCAAAAATGGCTGAGATTAGTACCAGGAATTTTACTCCATGGCTTGGAGGCCAAATTGTGTGTTTACTTTCAAACTTCTGTGCTTGCAACAGTTGCGGGAGCTCCAGCAATGTGAATACAAGTAACAAGGTTGTCTCCTTGAAAGAGGTTTGTCCTCTGAAAACTAAAGTTGGAGATGTGTGTCCTCAGGTCCCACCTGCCTGGACTGTTGGACCAGGAAGACCCAGAGTTGGCTCTGGCATGTCTCCTGGCCTCTGCGTGCATCGAGAGCCCCCAGACCCTCCGGTTCATGTTTCCCCCTGTCCCTATCCCCACTCAGTCCCTGTGTTCTGTCCCCACCCACCAGCTTAATTTGGACCATGTTCATCTGACCCATGTTTTCCCTTCGCACCAAAAAAAAAAAAGTTATTTGTCATTTGTAATGGAAGAGTTGGGAACAGATTCTTCCTTCCCACCCTCCCCCCCCCCCCCAGCTGCACACCCATCTCATCTCTCTTCTTTCTGGACCTCACCAAGCCGTGGTGCTAGGCCAGAGGCAATTTCTTGGTGTGCTTCTTAGGACTCTGCACATCACTGAGAACCTTCGATTAAGTCATTGAATGGGGCGAACCCTGTTTTCTCAGCACTGTCATAAACTGTTTTGTGGTTTTGCTTTCCTCCTGGTCACATGCATCTATCTTTGGGGAACTGGAAAGCTCTACACAGATTATTTTATCTCTAAAACCTTCAGGAGGGCAGTGAGAGCGTGGCCCCAATTCTTTCTCAATCCGTATGGCGGGAGGCTGACAGGGGAAGGAATGCACAGCTGGTCTTAGTGAACCTCCCGTGAGCGCGAGGGCGCGGTTTCCGAGCTAGAAGCAGCTGGCTTCCCAGACACAGCCAGAGAAACCCTCCCGCAGGAACCCACCCACGGAAACTCACCCGCTAAAACTGACCCACGAAACCCTCCTAGGGAAACGCTCCCACAAAAACCAACCAGAGAAACCCTTCCACAGGAACCTTCCCGCAGAAACCCACCAGAGACACAGTGCCTTGGAGCTCTACCCATGGAAACCCTCCCGCGCAACCCTCCCCCCCACACACACAGTCTCGCTCCCCCCTCCCCCCAGGAGTCATTGCCACAGGCTCCCGGTGCCTTGAAGGTACACCAAATGCAGGACACAGTCAGCTCAGCTGCACGGGCTCTGCCACCCTGTGCTCAGGTCTGCCACCCAGAAGAGTGACTCCCTTGTCCTCTCACATCTCGGCACTGTGGACAGTCTTGGCTGCAGGGCCTGGGGCCATGGCTCCATGGCTCCATTTAAATGTGATGAAAGAGGCTCGCTGAAAATAAGTAAGGAATCACAAATTCACTTGTCCTCTAAAAAGTGTGTGGCTTTTGCCGTAGATCCTTCTAAACTGAGCGACTAGATAATAGATTTCTTTTGTCCCCAGAACTTTAGAGCGTTGAAATATTTGGGGTGGTCACACATATCACTAAAGATTACACCAGTAGCAAAAGTTTCTTAAAAACAAAAAAAGGTTGTATCATGGTTCTCAGCCGCTGCTCCCAGCTCAGTGCTCAGGGGTCACTCGCGCCGGTGGTCAGGGGCTCAAGCAGTGCTGGGACAGAGCCCAGGAACTCAGGCCCCTTGAACTATCTCTCCCGCCCAAGAACTCGGCACTCCGGAAGGTGAAGACGAAGATGATTCACTGAAACTGCAGGTCAGAGAGAGCGTTTGCTCACACAGCAGAGCTCACTGTTTCCGCAGGACCAAAAGCTTTTCTGCTCACTGGCCGGGGACCCAGAGCTCCGCGCTGGGCTCCGGACTGCTCCTCAACAAGTGCTCAGCTCTGGCATTCACACCAAACGCTCGCTCAGGTGGGAAGGAGGAGGGTATCCAGAAGGCCAGGTGGGTCGGGTCCCCAGCAGGAGGGTCTGAGGGGTGGACCTGGCCAGACACCAGCTCCCGGAAGCGGGCGGGGCCTTTCCGTGAACGTCCCTTATCTGCCTGGCAGAGCCAGGGCTGGGCGGGCAGGGCCTCTTCCCGGCACACGGCTGTGCTGCCGGCTCAGAGCGTCTGGGGCCTCGCAGGGGGGTCTAACTCCACTCAGGGGAGCACACGCAGAATCTCGAGAGCTTGGTTTTTAGTTGGGGGCCACGCCTGGCAGTGGTGGGGCGCACTCCCGACTGCGCTGGGGGATCACTGCGGGCAGGCCCAGGGGCCACGAGCAGTGGGGGGCGGGCCCTGGTCCCACTCACCAGGCCAGCACGGTCCCCGCCACGTGTGTCTGCAGCCAGCCCGGCAGGTGTCCCCGTGACTCAGGCCTCTCCCTGGCCTCCTCTCAGCCCCCCTCCGGGCACCGGGGTCAGCCTGGGCCGGGCTCCTCCCTCCCAGCGCTGAGGCCTCTCTGCGCCCCAGGCGCCAGGCACCGAGGCGCTGAAAGCCCTGGGTACCACCCAGCTCCCGTTCCTCTCTCTTCCTGGCTCATCTGGGTGTCCCACAAACCGAGTCCCACCCTGCCGTGGGCGGTGGGAAACGCCTTGTCGGAGGCACCACGAGGCCCGCGGGGGGTCTGGTCCTCTGGGGGTGGGGGGTCTGCCCAGAGCGGGGGTGCGCTCCAGCCGCTCAGAGGCCGAGGCAGCCGCAGCTCGAGGGCTTCGCTTTATTCCTGGTCCCCGCGCCCCTGTTGGCTGGGCCGCTGAGCACCTTCCAGGCCAGAGGGAGCCCCTCCGCCCCGCGCCCGGGGACCCGGGAGGGCCGCCCCGCCCCGTGAGTCAGCGCCGCCCGCCCCGCGCGCCCCGCCCCGCCCGCCCGCCCGCCGCGCGGGCCGCTCCGACCGCGCCGTCCGCGCTCGGCTCGCGCCTCTCCCGCCGCTCCCGCCGCTCCCGCCGCTCCCGCAGCTCCGAGCGCTCCGACCGCGCCGTCCCGCGCTCCGCTCCCGCCGCTCCCGCCGCTCCGAGCGCGCCGCCCCCCGCGTCCCGCCGCCCCCGTCGGCGCCGCTGCCCGCGATGCGCCCGGCCGCGCTGGTCCTGCTGCTGCCGCTGCTGCTGGGGCCGCCGGCCGCGCGCGGTGAGGGGCGCGCCCCGACGAGAGGGGTTCGGCTGCGGGGGCGGGGGGACGGGCTGGGCAAGCTGGGGTCGGAGGCAGCCGCAGGGTGGAGGCTCGGCAGGGCAGGAGGACGGGCGCGGGGCGGGGGTCCGGAAAGGGGTCCCGGGCGCGAGTCGTCCTTGCCAGGGCAGCGCTCCCCAGGCCGCGGCGCCCGCGCCCGTGCCATGGACCTGTCCGGCTTTCGTGGCTGGAGGACGGGAGGACGCGTCCGGCGCTGGGGAGCCCGGGGGCCCCGCTGTCGCCCTCGGGGGCCCTCAGCGCCCGCTGACCACTCACGGCCACAGCTGACCCCTCGGGAAGGGAACAGAAGGGCGGGGATCGGCCCTTCCGCGCCCCTGTAAGACGTGGCCCCGCTCAGAAGGGCCAGGGCCACTGCGCTGAGCCCGCCCGGGCCAGCCCCACACCTGGCTCCAGCTGCGCCCCGCGCGCACAGGACTCCCCCGCGTCCAGACCTGCCTGGCCGGCCGGCCTGAAGACCTTGGGCTTGCAGCCCCCCTAGGCGCCTGCCTGGGGCCCGATGACCTTTAACTCTGCCCTTCGCTCCCCAGGTGACTGCGGCCTCCCCCCGGAGGTGCCCAACGCGCTGCCCGACCTGCAGGGACTGAGCAGTTTCCCCGAGAGAGCCGAAATGGTCTACAGGTGCAACCCGGGCTTTGTGAAGGTGCCCGGCCGGCCCGATTCTGCACTCTGTGACCAAGGGCAGTGGTCGGAGCTGGACGCCTTCTGCAACCGTAAGGCCCCCTGCTCGCAGGCTGCCATAAGGGAGCGCGCCTGCCTTGCCAGGGTTAATGCTGGCTCTTCAGGGTGACTGTAATTGATAGTTTTCTGGCTTTATTAAGCCCCAGGGCTTCCCCTTGGCACCCCACACTCCAGCTAATTGACGGCGCCAGTTCCCAGAATAGGCCCAGTCTTCATTAATGGTTTTTCCTAACACTCTAGCCCTGGGCTGAGCGGCAGAGAGTAAACAGTGGTGCGTGAGGGAGTGCGAACTGTGGTGCCTTGAACCAGGGCTGGGCCTGTTCCCCTCAGAGGGGCCTCGCCAGGGCCTCTGCGGGCCCCTTCCCGTTCTCTGGGCCTCAGCACCTGCCTCCCAGCCCGGCTCTCTGGAGCTCTGCGCACACACGGAGGACTGGGCTGGCCCCTGCACATGCACACTGGTTCTCAGAGCAGGCGGGTGAGCGGTGAGCTGAGCCGGGGCTCAGGCCCTGAGTTTGAGTTCAGCAGTGGTCCATGCTGTGTGCCCTCAGACCCTCAGACTGTGCACTGGGGTGGGCCTCCCAGGTCAGCGGCTCTGAAGCAGAGCCGCATCCCTACACCCCCACGGGTCAGTGGTCCCCTGCTAGCCACAGCCTGACTGCTATGTGAGCAGTCTCCTCACACCGTGGGCTCCTCTGCCTGTGCTCAGGGAGCTGTGGTTCTCAGGGGCTTGTGAGCCTGAGACGGTGAGCTGTGTCTGTGAGTGTGAGCTGGAACTCTCACTTCATTATTGCTGCCTGAGGCCCCAGCCCAGGGGTCTCAGACCACTGAGTCCACCGACCCTGCTGTCCCATGCTGGGACTTGCCTGGGACTATCCCCAGCAGCTGAAATGGGTTCACTGTCTGATCGTCTGAACTGGCAGCCGAGGACTGCTGGTTCCAGTTCCACCTCACTGGCCTGCAGCAGCCAGGACCAGAGAGCGAACGTGTGAACCTCCACCTGCTTGCCGCTGGCCCATGATGCTGGCCAGTTAATCCCACGATTCTGCAAGAGGGACCAAAAGACGGGCACACAGCTCTTGCACAGTGGGTAGTCTTGCATAGTCTCGCCTTGCACACAGCCTCTCCGGTATAGTCCTCAAGTCCTGCCAGGAGTGACCCCCGGCAGATCCAGGCGTGCGCCCTGAACATGGGTATGGCCCCAAACAAAGCTAAAATAGTACGGAAAGTGGCGGTGTGCAGTGCCTGGGGAAGTCCGGGCAGTGACACCTGGCTGCTCTCAAGTTAATTTTCCTTGTTCCTTGTTGCCACACTTAGGCAGCTGTGATGTTCCAACCAGACTACTCTTCGCCTCTCTCCAGAGACCTTACAGCGAGCAGAACTACTTTCCAGTGGGCTCCAGTGTGGAGTACAAATGCCGCGCAGGTTTCCAGAGGGTCGAATCTCTCTCCAGGAAAATCACTTGCCTGCCGGACTTGAGGTGGTCCAAAGCAGATGAATTTTGTAAAAGTGAGGATGACTTCAATGAGTTCTGTTTCCTCTCGGGGTGCTGAGGCTTCAGCTGTGGGAAACAGGCACTATACAGAAGTACATCTTTAATTTTGTGGTGTTTGGGGAAAATCTCTTTTTTCCTTCTTGCTAGACTCTATCTGTACACATTAAATGATTCTTGAAAGAATGTTAGTATTTTTAATCTTTGATAAACTTCTGTTGTCATAGTAATATTCATTTACCTGCAGATTTTACATTTAATTCATTTGTAAGATGAAATTAAGTAAATTTATAAATCGAATGTGTGCTTTTTTTCGCTTCTATTTTAAAGCATCAAGAAATTAAAATAGGATGTCTAAAGATGAAAAGTAAGGCTCAGGCAATAGATTTGTCTATAGGTGCCTGATACTTAAATGAGAAAAAAATTTGTTCTGTGTTTTGCTCTAGAAAAGTCATGTCCCAACCCTGGAGAAATCAGAAACGGTCATGTCATGGTAACAACTGACATTCTGTATGGTTCATCCATCACCTTCTCATGCAATCCAGGGTAAGTCTGGCATCCTCAGTCTGGGATAGAACAAGTGACCAAATGATTCGGACAGACGATGGAAGCTTACAGATCTAGTAGAAGTGAAATGACCCCCATTCTCAAAGCTCCTTCTTGACTCAGCTGCTAGAAAGATAAAACCGAAGTGCTAAGCGTTGCTACATACGTGATTCATTAGAAAATCCTGAAAGTGATCTGTTAGAAGGAAAACTATGTGCTATGTGACTGATAGTGGCAGAAATGAATCCCCTCAAAGTGTGAGATCTTAAATTTGCCTAAAGATAGTTTGCCTGTGTTTCCCCCCACACGTAGACAGGCTGTTCTTACATATACCAGGGTAGAAAGCATGTGTCTGTCGTGTGAGCGATGGTGTGAGCTGAGGTCCTGGGCCAGTCCACTCACCCTGTGCCCCAGACCTGATCAGCTCTGACCCGATGCTGCCGATGACTTCGGAATCCTTTAGTGTCTGCAGGTGGAACTTCCATGTCCCCCACCGTGTGTGCACCTGTGTTCTGTTCATTATAAACATATACCGTGCTGTTTCCTGCCATGTTACTTTCCTGGGAGGGTTGTCAGCCGGGACTGGGGTACGGAAGGTCCCTTCCTCCTGGAGCCTCAGCTTCCCCCTCCCTGTGTCTCTTGTGTCACCGTGCTAGAAACAGGGATTTAGATCAGCAGCTTCCTGAATAGAAACTCTGAAAGAGTGCTTTGAACTTGTTCAGGACAGCATGCTTCCTGTGGGTTTGGGTTGGGGGCCAGAGGTGTCCTAGTCTTGCTTCTGTGCTCAGGGATCCCACCTGGTCTGCCAGGGGAACATAGGGAGCTCTGGCCATTGAACCCAGTTGGCTGTGTATTAGGCAATCTGCTGTATTGTCACTTAAAATACATCCATTATTCTCTCAGGTCTATACTGATCTGAACTTTAGATTGTAATATAAAATATGGATATATTGTTCACTTAAAATGTTTTAATATACTATATTTCCAAACATGTGCTTCCCACCGGTAAGAAACGTCTTAGGTGTTTTCAATATTAGATGCCAACCTTTTAGAAGCCTTTCCAGATATCTAAATTTTTTTACCTGAAACATGTTAATTGATGCCACATCAGTTTATAGTGTCACCTTTTAAAATGTAATGCGTCCCTCTAGCTCCCACTAAGTTTTTATAGTCTAATGTTTGTCTCCATCTGCTGGCACCCTGTTGAGTTGTGATATTCTGGAGCACAGACAGAAGTCTGTGAACTGAATCGAAACCTGTGAACTGAATGTGAGTCTTCTCCCCTGCTGCTCTAGATACGAATTAGTTGGAGCAGACTCCAGCTACTGTTCCCTGATGGGAGACACGGTTGGGTGGAGTGATCCCTTGCCAGAATGCAAAGGTGAGACCGAAAGGGTTCGAGCCAGCAGCCTCGAGTCAGGACTGTGCTTCCGCACACCCCAAGCGAGTGTCAGCTGAGCAGGACACCAAGAGTGACCCAGCTGGCTGCGCACCTCTAGAGAAACAGTCACAGGGACAGGAGGGCTCCTACCTCCTGTCCCCGTCCAGTGCACTTCCTCTACGTGCGCGTGCGAAGATCTGTGGGGTGACTGCAGGCCACCGTCCCACTGCTCTGCAGCACCGCTGCCTGGCACTTTGAGCTGGAGGTGGGGCTGGTCCTCTTGATGAGAGACCCAGGAAGTGTTTCACCCCAAGGTCAAGAGCACTCCACATCCTTCTGATGTCCTGTCTCTTTCTGGTGCCCTTACCAGCTCCTGTTGCTATCTCCCTCTTTTGTCTCTCTTATTTCTCTTTTCTCTCTAGGGTGCCCCTCAAGTCCCTCTGACCCCTAAACTTGCTACCTTCCTTCCACCTTTAAATTCCCACAACAGCCAATTTTTTGTTCGTTTTTATAGCACCAGACTGATGCAAAATGGAGAAACTGTACTTTTTTTTTTAACATTTAACATTTGCGCTCAGAATTTAATTCTTTCTATACATTTACTTAAAGTTAACATTCTATTTTTACATTTGTACTCAAAGCACCAAAAATACTACTTATTATTTAATAGTCATAAAAGCATTCCCTGTTAATAATGCTATATTTAGAAAAATGGTTAATTTTGTTCCTTTTAAATAAAATTTTAGCGTGTTTTAGTCATATTTGGAAAAATGCCTTCTATTTTATTAATATCAAATATTTTGGTTTTTTTTTCTAAGAAATTGTTTGTCCAGAACCACCAGAAATTGACCATGCGGTCATTCAGGAACCACAGGATACTTACGTCTATGGCCAGTCTGTGAGCTACAAGTGCAAGCCAGGGTTCACCCTGGTTGGGGAGAATGTCATCCACTGCACCGCCGAGGCCGGCCACGGGGCCTGGAGCAGCCCATACCCAGTCTGCAAAGGTGAGCGTTGGTGACCAAAATAGGCAACCCAGGCCTTTGTGTATCTTACAAATTCTGGGAACTCCTGAGAAAGTGATGCATAATGAAAAAAAAAGTACAAAGTTTCTCCATTACGTATCAATCATATTTGTATTTTTCTGGGAGGCAAGTTTCTCATCAGATTCTAAGAAGTCTCTAGAACTTCCAAGAGAGAAAGAACCACTGATGTGGAGAAAAACGATATGGGTTAACAAGAAATTACATGTGAGCTATGTGTAGTCCATGTGTGTAGCGTCTCATGAATTGCCTGAGATTTGTGTGCACATATCCATGTAATGCCTCGAGAACACACATGCAGTGGCCCATGAATCCACGTGATACACACAAGTCAGTGTCTCGCGAACACACCTGAAGTATGTGGAGACAGAAGTCAGATAGTTGATCATGAATAAACATGAGGTGCATGAGAGACACCTGCATGTGATATCTCATGAATGTAAGTGAGGTATGTACAGACATGCATGCATGTCTCATGATGACAGGAGATACGTACAGGCATGCATTCATCTGAGATAGGTCCAGACACACATGCATGTAATGTCTACGCTTTTAGTGAGTGCCAGCCTTTGCCTGTGCTTTCTCATGCCACGTGGCTCATTCCTTTCTGTCAAATGGCTCATTACCCGACAGGGAGAGCCATCAGCTGGAACTGAGGGGCCTAGCTGGTCTCTTCCTCTGGGACCCTCAGCTCTTGCCCCTCTGTTGATGGCAGTGACACGGCCCCTGTGTTCTGCTGCCAGGATTCTCTCTTCTTCTCCACGTTCTTAGTCCCGGAGGCTTATGGCCTGTGTGTGGGTCAGCTGCACCCACAGAATATTCTTTGGTGCAGCTCTGAAGGCTGTGGACAGGGTGAGCGAGACTCACTGGAGCAGGGCAGACCAGGTGGCATTTTCTCAGCACCTGCAAGCATCAGTGTGCATGAGCCGGTGACACTGTTGCAACTGCACCAAGATTGCACAGCAACACTTTCTTGCCGTCCTTCTCATTCAGGTGGTTGTTCAGTAGAGACGTGAATACGATCATGGTGATGACAGGGCCTGAGGACAGGTGTCAGTGAAGGCTGAAATCTCCTCTCTAGCCTGGGTCCTGCTCTCAGAAGTGACTGTCATCCCCAGATGTTTCTACTGTGGAAATGAATAGCATCCATCCATATATATATATATATATATATATATATATATATATATATTTTATCAAATAAGGACATGGTTATGTCATTCTCTAACCCCAGTCCATTGATGGGAAATTAGGGTTTGGTTCCAGTGTTTAAATTATCCGTACAAAAGATGTGGCCTATCTTTTCACTACATGTGTGTTCAAGCCCAATAAATAACTTGCTGCTTAATTGCTGTGCATTTAAACTTCTGATAGATGCCAGTAACTAATTTTTCAAGGAAATGGTCCCCACACGATGATGTTAGGCTGGTTCTCCACTCTGTTAATGCCATGGTTGTGCTGTGGAGATATGGCAACGTGAACGGTGAGCATTTATTTTGTTTGGATTCATTAAATTGGGTGATATTTGAGTTGTTTGATCTGGAATCTATCAACCGATAGATTCTAAAACTCTCAATCCCCCTGGCAGAAGAAACTCAAACTCTCCCTCCAGGTGCCTCCTACTGAGCTGAGCAGTCCCACTTGCTGGAAGCCCTGAGAGGGAGAAGGCACAAGGCCTGCAAGGTCTAGCAGGAGCAGATGCCTGACTTGCAAGCAAAGATGACGTCATCAGAAGCAATAAGGAGCTTTAAAAAAAACAAGAAAGTTATTGTTCTTGTTGGACTCTAGACATAACAGTTATTGACTCTAAAGTTGAATGCAAGATGAAAACGTTCTCAGACAGAGCCAAGGGAACTTGGCAGCAACACACCTGACCCACGTAGATGGAAAACCAGAGGGTGGCCCAGAGGGAGGAAGGCCCAGGAATAGGAGCACGCGGGAGCAGGTGCAAAGCGCCAGCTTCACAGCCAGTGCTGCCGCATCGCTTGTGTGCTGGGTTGGAGCTGACTGCTGAGCAAGCCAGGTACCAGGAACTCAAGAGGCAGAGAGAAGGAACTTGAGGCTGAAAATCGTAAGCTTCGGGCAGCTCTGGAAACATAGAATCCCTGCATAATCTTTAGGCTGTTCCAGCAAGTAATTGTGAAAGGTTTTACGAAGCACAGGATAAAAAAATGAATTAGAATGAGTACTTAATGCAAAATGGAACACTAGGGGAAAATAAACAAAAGAGAAAAATTATATATGGAATAGAGAGCTAAAATAAGATGTTTTTACAAATACAAACATTTCAGAAATCGTGCAGAGTATTGACTTCTGCTTGCAAGAACATTCCCAAATTTCCCAACGCTGGAACCAAACCCTAAGTGCCCACCAATGGACTGGAGTTAGAGAATGATATAACCATGTTCTGATTTGATAAATGCCATCATACTAGATTTCAAAACTAAAATCTATTTGTTTACAGAGACATGGTTTAATTTTTAATGGTACTGAGCAGATGAAAATAGGAATGAAAAAGCATACAGTACAAGCAATTATCAAAAAAAATGGGTGCAACTTTATTATATCAAAATGTACCTTATGATAAGACTGTTAAGAAGGGAATATGGGTCATATCAACAGGAATGTGAAGCAATCTGAAACCTACACACACTGGGAAAATGTAGTTTCTATTTGTAACAAAAATGAAGATATAGTTGGAGAGTTCTACATACAATTTTCAATATCTGCTTAGAAAAACTAACCTCAAATCAAAAAGAATATAGACTATCTGGGTAGTAATCAAACTTATGGACCTAGAGACCACTGAACTCTCAGTGCAAATGGCAGATGTTCTCCACATGCATATGGGACTTCTGCTGCGACTGACCACCAACTTGCTGGGCTCATTCTAAAGTACGCTGCCCTGTAGGAGATTCAGAATGTCCAGAGCTTGCTTTTTTATGAAAATAGAATTAAACTAGATATCAAGTAACTGAAAAGAACTAGCAAAGGAACTTCCAGGAAATTTAAACTATATTAGTACTTCCAAAATCTTGCTTTAAACAGAAATATTCAGCTAATGTTTTTTAAAAAAATTTCCTCCACAGAACATTCCAAAAATTTCAAGGTCATACCAGCAATTCAGAAATCTATCTCAGGGAATGGTCCAGGTACAGAAACCCAGTTGCCTCCTCTGAGCCCCACTTCAAGTAATTCTTCAACTCCAAAACCCAAACCAACCCATCAGAAACCCAAACCAACTCCTCATAAACCCACTACAATAGACTCTTCAGCCCCCAGACCTAAACCAACTCCTCAAAATCCCACGACGGAGGATTCTTCAGCCCCCAAACCTAAACCGACTCCTCATAAGCCCACTACACTAGGTTCTGCTCCAAAACCCAAACCAACTCATAAACCCACTACAATAGATTCTTCTGCTCCGAGGCCTAAACCAACTCCTCAAAAACCCACTACAGTAGATTCTTCAGCCCCCAAATCTAGTCCAACTCATAAACCCACTACAATAAATTCTTCAGCCCCCAAACCCAAACCAACTCCTCAAAAACCCACTACAATAGATTTTTCTGCTTCAAAACTTAACACAACTACAGTAGACCCTTCTGCTCCAAAGGCCCCACTAACTTCTCCGAAACCCACTGCAGTGGACTCTTCTGCTCCAAAGGCCCCACTAACTTCTCCGAAACCCACTGCAGTGGACTCTTCTGCTCCAAAGGCCCCACTAACTTCTCTGAAACCCACTTCAGTAGACTCTTCTGCTCCAAAGACTCCATTAACTTCTCCGAAACCCACTGCAGTGGACTCTTCTGCTCCAAAGGCCCCACTAACTTCTCTGAAACCCACTTCAGTAGACTCTTCTGCTCCAAAGACTCCATTAACTTCTCCGAAACCCACTTCAGTAGACTCTTCTGCTCCAAAGACTCCATTAACTTCTCCGAAACCCACTTCAGTAGACTCTTCTGCTCCAAAGACTCCACTAACTTCTCCGAAACCCACTGCAGTGGACTCTTCTGCTCCAAAGGCCCCACTAACTTCTTCAAAACCCACTTCAATAGACTCTTCTGCTCCAAAGGCCCCACTAACTTCTCCGAAACCCACTGCAGTGGACTCTTCTGCTCCAAAGGCCCCACTAACTTCTCCAAAACCCACTTCAATAGACTCTTCTGCTCCAAAGGCCCCACTAACTTCTCCGAAACCCACTGCAGTGGACTCTTCTGCTCCAAAGGCCCCACTAACTTCTTCAAAACCCACTTCAATAGACTCTTCTGCTCCAAAGACTCCACTAACTTCCCCGAAACCCACTGCAGTAAGTGATTTGGCCAAAACAGTCCAGAAGACATCTTCCTTATCAAATACTTTATCTACAGAGACCTCACCAGCAGGTCACACTCCTGTTATGGCAAATTCTCCGGCTTCACAAACCACATCAACAGCGCAAAGATCCACCACGGCAAAAGCATCATTTGAACAGAGTCTTCCAGCAATACCCAAGTCCACTGCTGTCCACACCCCGGTGACTCAGGGTCTCCAAACAACACAAAGATTGACTTCTTCTCATGTTACAGCGACACAGAGACCACCTGCTCCCCGGGCAACCACCCACATGCAAGCAACCAGCACTGCCCCAGCAAGAGGACCTCCTCTCTCACGTGAGTTGGCACTGACTGCAAGTCTGATTTTAACACTGACCCAGAGTATGGTTGCAGTATTTGTGGTACTCATTTTAACTTGACAGGACCCCAAAGTCAACCACTCTGACTTATTGGACTGAATTGCCATACTAATATTCTTGCCTTTCTTTAGAAATGGGCATGGACTGTGCTGGAGCAAATATTTTTGAAAGAGGAACACTTTGCAGTAATGTATGATAGATTGTGGCCCCAGAGAAGCAATACCAAATGAAAAATATTTGTTTTTTTAAATTCGCTTTAGAGACTGAATTTTTTGAGACCTCTTTGTAGAATGTACTTCACATAGATCTGGTTCTGGTCTGGCTCCTTGGCAGAAACCCATCCCTCAAGCATTCTGAGGGGTCTCTCCATCTGTGTGTGAGTTGTGGCTGGGTAAAGAGATGGCACCAGTGGTTCTTTGAGAGCTGGTATAGCACAGACCCTCAAGACCATGATATGAAAGTGGAGCCAGAGGGTGAAGGAGGGTGAGAGAATGAAGAAAAGTCTCTAGTCATAGCAGCTGCCTCGGGTCACCATGCCTTCTGATCTCCACTCCCCCAAAACCTCTTTTTTTGATATTCTTGTTTCATATTTTTTTTTAGTTTCTTGGAAATCTCAATAACATCGAATCAGATGACATTTAAAGTATTTTTTTCTGGCTTTTTCATTGAAGTGGACATATAACCACGGGAGATTCAAAAACAATGAGCTCCACAACGTTCCTAAAGCAATAGTGGTGGCCAAGCCCATGTCCACAGTTGCAAGAGCAGCCCCTCGCCGTGAGACCTGGTGGCCCTACCCCCATGCTCAGGCTCCCCCAACCAGTGGAGCTGCTCCTGCTGCCCACTGTGAATCACCCCATGGCAGACCGGTGCCACCTTCTCTCTGGGCTTTGTCCTTCCTGACTGCTGCTGATTCTGATCTGATTATGGTGAGAAAGATGCTTGGTATTTGGCATCGGATTTCTGTCAGATACAGTTTGTTCATTCTTTAAAGACCATTTTCAACTTTCGGATTTTGCTGAGGAAGTGAGTAGGGTCACCTGCCGAGAGGCTTTGTGACCCAGGTCTCCTCCTCCTCGGCACAGGACAGACCAGACTTGGAGAGCAGCTGGGTCAGGTGCAGGCTGCATAGTTAAGGGGCAGGAAATTAGTTGAGACACATTTGTCCTGGTTCTGCGCCTTCTCCTTTTTCTGCCATGCAATATTCCTGTTGCTCACCAGTGCTCTGAGGAAATTTGTTAACTTTGCAAGTTTCCCTCTGTGAAGCCTGCACCCTGCCACTGAGCATGCCTTTGGCTCCAGCTTCCCTCTTAGGGCAGGCGTGTTTGCGCACAGAGGTGTTTCTAAAACACTCAGAGTCACTGAGAAGCACAAATCATAAGGTGATGTGGTTTTTAAGTTTTGCAGAATCTGCTGAACCAGAACAATTTATGATGGTTTCTTAATCATGGATTCCATCCACAGCCTTTTTGGTGAGGAGAGGGGACCACCTTCGGAGGTGTTCAGGGCTGACTCCTTCCTCTGCACTCAGAAATCCCTTCTGGTGGGGCTCAAGACCACAGGGGGTACCAGGGACCAACCCAGACGGAGCCCTTCCTGTGGTAGCATCACTCTGGTCCCTTGCCAGCAGCTCTTTGCCGTATAAGCTTTCAAGTTTGCTCCTTGCTATCAAGTCACATACCCAAACTTAGATGGTGTTTATTTAGGCTTTTCAGCAAGTCTTCACTGTGTTTTATGTTTGCTGTGCTAGTACTGTTAGTACTGTTAGGTAGATACAGGCATTGGTGTGTGTGTGTGTGTGTGTGTGTGTGTGTGTGTGTCTCTTACTTGGAAGTTAATTGTGTATCATTATGTTAATAGTTATCATTATTTCCTTTAGTTATGAAAATATGGGTTACTTTTGATGTTCAAATACAGTTTATCAGTATATGTAAATGTTTTATAAATTGCTGGAAATCAATGACTTTACATTTTTTAATTTTTTTTTGTAATTTTTTTCCTCTTAGGTGCAAGCATCATTGCATTTGGTAAGTCTGGCTTTCCAGCAGTTAAAAGAAATTGTCTTCCCTGTGGGAGATACAGTCCGTATTCCTGGAAGAAAATATTATCTTTTCAGTGTCTTAGGAATACTATTAAAACGCAGTGTTTGGGGGTGAAAAGGAGAAAACAGGTAAACGCACTTTATCCACATATCTTGTGGATGCCATTGAGAAGTTGCTATGTTCCAAAGTATTCCCAGCCATGCAGTTGTTCCAAGGTAATTTTAGGACAACTTCGAGTCATTTGGCCAATCAGTCAGACATTACTGCGTGCCTCTTGTATTAAAGTACATAGTCCTGGGGCTGAAGAACCACAAGAAGGAGAGAGTTACTAATAAAGTGTCTATCCTCAGATATTTCGTATTTTATATGTAAGCAGAATGTATTCCTAGGTCATTTCTTGATTTCTGTCTTACCCTAAATAAAATAGAGTGCTTTATTTCATCATATCCTCTTTTCCTTTCCTTATCAGTAACTGAAGACTATGTTAAAAATTTCTTTGTAATTTTTTTGATTTTTTTCTTTGGTCTTGAGGCCACACCCAGAAGTGTTCAGAGGCCATTGCTTGCTAGGTACTCAGAGGGAACTCTTGGCAGTGCTTGGGGGACCATGTATAATGAAGAATCAAAGCAAGTTTTCCCATATACAAAGCATACATGCACTTGGCCTTTGAGCCATCCCTCCAGCCCCTGTGTTACAGTTTATTATAGTTGTTGTACATTTTGTCCACAAATGTATTATTTAAGGTAATGCATTAACATGAAGATTAGAAAATTCTTAACAAGAGTGGGAGGTTAAAGAAATGCCTGTTAAGAACCAATGCAACCAAATATCTGTCTATTGATAACTAACGTCCAGAAGAAAACCCGCTCTTAAAAAAAACATACCTTCCAAAATTGTGATTTTTATAATCTGAATGAAGCTCTCCTAATTTATAGATATATGAATTGGCTAAAGAACTATAAAACTAAGGCATGTATGTTAAAAATTATAACCAGTAACATTCATTATGGTTCTGTTCTAAGGTACGAAATTAATTTTGAAAAGTTCCAACAGTTGAATTTGTTGATTTGTTAATTCTAACAAATTGTTAAGCTGGAGCGATAGCCCAGCGGGTAGGGCGTTTGCCTTGCACGCGGCCGACCCACCAGACCCGGGTTCGATTTCTGCCCCTCTTGGAGAGCCTGGCAAGCTACTGAAAGTATTTTGCCCACATGGCGAAGCCTGGCAAGCTACCCGTGACGTATTCAGTATGCCAAACTTAGTAACAACAAGTCTCACAATTTGTTGTGAGACATTACTGGTGCCCGCTCGAGCAAATCGATGAACAACGGGAGGACAGTGTTTGTTTTTTGTTTTGTTTGTTAATTCTATATTGGAATTGGAATTTGTTCATTCTATACTTTAAATAGAAATAAATGTATTCTAAATTAAAATTTCATGATTTAATGATTTCAAGTCAACAATAGTTGAATATATATGTGTATACACACGTATATCTATAGCTGTATTCTATATATGGAAAATTGGATCTTTTATGCCATCTTTAGATGATTCCACCCCACAGAGGATGTATCTTCTATAGAATTGTGACATTTTTCAAAGACAGCATTGTAAAGAACAATGGCTTATACCTTTGGAGTTGTTCAGCCCTTAGTTTGAGTTTTTTCAGTTAGTATTTTTAGTTAGTAGTTACTTAATCTGGGCTGGAGCGATAGCACTGCGGGCAGGGTGTTTGCCTTGCACGAGGCCGACCTGGGTTTGATTGCTCTGTCCCTTTCGGAGAGCCCAGCAAGCTACCAAGATTATCCCGCCTACATGGGCAGAGCCTGGCAAGGTCCCCGTGGCGTATTCAATATGCCAAAAATAGTAACAACAAGTCTCACCATGGAGACGTTACTGGTGCCTGCTTGAGCAAATCAGTGAACAATGGGACGACAGTGCTACAGTGCTACAATCTCTTAATCTAAGTGGTTTGCTTCATCTCCATGGTCCCATCTACTTATCAAGAGATGAAGAGAATAAATCCATAGAAAGCCCTTGACATAATAAATATGACACTCCCAGCCCATTTCCAAGTGTTAGGTAAGTAAAAGTAAGTAAAGGCCCTCCCGTTGATCATCGATTTGTTCGAGCGGGCCCAGTAACTTCTCCATTGTGAGACTTGTTGTTACTGTGTTTGGCATATCGAATACGTCACGGGGAGCTTGCCAGGCTCTGCCGTGCGGGCGAGATACTCTCGGTAGCTTGCCGGGCTCTCCGAGAGGGGCGGAGGAATCGAACTCGGGTCGGCCATGTTGGCTGCGTGCAAGGCAAACGCCCTACCGAAGTGTTAAATAAGTATATATTTATGAGTAAGTATTAGCTTGAAGAAGTACTAGATCACATAATGCATCACCCTTTTTTTTTCTATCATGGATTTCTGACCATTTTCTCATTTCCTCTCCCCACACTGAAGAAGAATGTTCTTGATGCAGATGATATCTGTGTGTTGGTTGTGGCCAGAACCGCCCCACCATCTCATGGACCCCCACAGTGGGCCCGGGATGGAGCCAGGACCATTTTCTAAGGGTAGAAAACTGTGGTTTGGCAAGATTGACAAC